GCGAATAGCTGGTTTAAGTTAGCATTTTTATGTTGTTTATTGCTAACTTGTTTGCTTGTACCTGCAGCTGTATTTAAACAAACATTATGGGTTTTAAGGAGTTTCCCATCGTCTCCTTTTAGTTCTGGGTTTTTTTCGTCTTCCGATCGACGTAGCTCCGCATTTTTATAGTCATGCTGCTGACTAGCTTTAGACTTCAGATTATCTTCATTAGTCTTTAGCTTTTGTATCTCGTTGTCCATACTATCCACTTTTGTACAAAGTGTAGTTATGGCTTTGAGTATCTCTTCCATTGTATTTTTGTTCTCAGTCTGAGTAGCTTTGTCTTGATAAGTAATCTGCAATAACATTCTTATCAGTTTTTATTACTTCAATTGTAAATGTGAAATTTAATATATTTAATACCAATCTTCTTATTTCTTTTGTTGTTACCGAATCTTGTATTTTTCTTGTTAGCCACCATTTTACTTGTGTATTATCTGTTCTTATAATAAATTTGTTATATACAATATATGGTTCAAATGATAATAAACACTTATATACTGAATATAATTCTTTTCTATTTATTTCCCATTTTATTTTTGTATTATTAAATGTTCCTGAATAATACCTGCAATGATGTTCTATCATAGTGTCATCATACCTGTATTTTAATATTCCTCCATAACTTTTTTCACTCGCATCTGATTCTATTATATAAGTAATTTTTTTGTTTTCATCTGTAAAGTATAGTTTAGGTAAGTTTTTACATAATAATTTTACCTTTTGTATTTGTATTTGGTCTTTTTTATCAAACTGATATTCTATATCTTTCTTTAATTTTTGTTGTAATGGTTTTAAATTCTCTGCTAATTTTGGTAAGTATTCTCTTACTTGATTTACTAGTCCTAAGAATGATTGTAATTTCTTTTTTGTGTCTAGTTGTTCATTTGAGTTAATTATTTTTTGTACTATATGTGTTTGCATTTTTATTCCGTTTTTATCAATTTGTATTCCTGAGAATTCTATTTGATTTTTCATTATATCAGCTTTCTTTTTACTTAGACTTATACCTGAATATTCTATGATGTGTATAAATTTTTCTAATAGTCTTATATGTTCATCTTGTGTTTTGGAATATAATAATATATCATCAATGTACACTACACAATTTTCTATTTGTTTAAAGTAATTATCCATAAAGTGTTGATATCTACCTGGTGCGTTTTTATATCCAAATGGTAATACATTCCATTCATAAAATCCTTGTGGTACAGTGAATGCTGTTAGTTTTTTAGATTCTTCTTCTAGTTTTAAGTGATAAAATCCTGATTTACAATCAAATTTGCTAAAATAATTATATTCTTGTATTTGTCTTATCTTTAGTATTTTATTTGGTATCGGATAATTATATGTTTTAGTTTTTGCATTTAAATTTCTATAATCAATAACCATTCTACTTTTTCCTCTTTTTTGTTCACTATGTTTATTTACGATAAATGCCGGGCTTGTATGCTTACTATTGATTTCTTGTATACATCCTTTTTCTAGTAATTCATCTATATGTATCTTAAATTCGGTTAAATCATTAAAATTATACTTTGGTACATATATAAATTTTCCTCCATTACTTCTTCTAATTGTTGTACTTCCTTTTTTGCTTGTTGTTTTATTTTTTCAATTTCCGTTCTTCTATTTATTTCTTCATTTTCTTTTGTTATTCTTACCATAGCAGTTAAAATATCTTATAGTTTTACAATTTTTTTTCTAACATTAAACTTATATTGTCACCTATTTTCTTATATCTTCTTCCTAGATTAGAAAATATTATCTTTATTATTAATCCGTCATAATTTTCATATGTTTTTTCATCTATTGCGTATTCTTCTTTATTCATTTATAAATTATGTTGTAGTTTATATTCTAAGTTATTTATTTGTTTTTCTAAATATAAAATGGTCTTTTGTAATGACCCGAAAGGTCATTTTGGTAATTTTTCGTGGAAATGACTATTTTGCCCTTTCGGTAGTTGCCCCGAGTCCCATGTTTTGTGGTTGTAAAGTTGGTTTGAGGAAAAGTTGGTAAAAAGTTGAGTTTTTGAGAAGTTGAGTTTTTATGAGTTAAAGTTGGTTAAAAAGTATTTTGTCGAGTCATTTGGAGTTTCGGGACTCGGATTGGATTTCCGTCGATTCCGACAGTTCTAGAATGTCGAAACGGGTCTGTGTGAAGTTACGGAGTCGAATTTGGAGTTGAAACGAAGAATTGATGTCCTAAGTTGCTAAAGTTGTGAAATTTTGATAAAGAGTTGACTTTGGTCAACATATGAGATTCCGAGGCTCAGATTGAAATTCCGAGAGTACCGTTGGTTTCGGGAGGCGATTCTAAGTGTAGAATGAGTCTTGTTTGAATTTTTAGACGCTCCGTTTGAGTTTCAAATTTTTTTGGCGTTAAACTAGTTTCTTGGCATCTTTTTGAATTTCGGGTCAAGGAGTCCTCGAATTCAAATTCCGACGGTTCCATTGAGTCCGGAATGTCGAATTTAGTGGGGGTACATATTTAGTTGGTGTGCACGAGATTCCGAACGAATTCCGAGGGTCTAACGGGGACTTAAACTTTGGTGTTATTGTTGTGTTTCAGCTGTAATATCAGTCCTTTTTAAGTCAAAAAAACAGTAGCCATTTTCCCCCAACTTGAAAAATACCCATTTCTCCATTTTTAGACTTTGAGAGCTCGAAAATAGGTGATTTCAAGTGGGTTTTCGCAAGGAATTCATTGGGTAAGTTATTTCCAACTTATATCTTTGATTTCCATTGATTATTTATGGATTTTAACATCAAAATTTGAGATCTCAACTGTAAAATTTGGGGGTTTTTGCCTAATCCGAATTTAATAGAAAATTTGAGTTTGAGAGCTCATTTCAACTCCTTTTTTGAAACGGTTTTTACTATTGGATTCTAAATTTCTTGGGGAACATTTTTCACTAAAAATTTCCAAATTTCGAGAGTATTTTCCGGAACGAGATTTTTTTGACCATATTACCTTTTTCTCCAAATTTCACGATATTGGTGTTGTTAGATTCGTATTGATTGTGAGATTCCATTTATAAATAGATTGTGGTGATTTGGAGCGTGCTCGGAAGGGTAAAACTCAAATTTGAGTTACTAGTTGAAGTGTTTTGAGGCAAGTGACTTCTAAACTTTGTTAAACTCTTAGACAACACATGACTACTTTCCTAATTGTGTTGGGGAGTAATGGGGATTGATGATGAGTTTTATTTGTTGATTGAAATTGTTGTAATTGAAAGATGGGGAATAAAACGAGCTAAATGTGTTATATGTGACTTGAATTTGTTGAAGAAGTCATGTGATAACTGATATTGAGGGGCTAGAAGAGCATGAGTAAGCTATGATTGATACAGACAATGATGTTGAGACAGATGATGTGTAATACTATGATGTGGTCGTGATATGGTTGTGATTGAGACAGACGATGTGTCATACTATGATATGGTCGTGATATGGTTGTGATTGAGACAGATGATGTGTAATACTATGATGTGATCGTGATATGGTTGTGATTGAGACAGATGATGTGTAATACTATGATGTGATCATGATATGATTGTGATTGATGACATGTGCATATTCATTATTCATCCCATGTGTGAAACTATCTGTTGCATAAGTTCTGAGACACTGATATGAGGATGGATGGATATGAGACACAGTTGAGACTAGCTCCGGCTAGAGATGTATGAGATGGACTAGCTCCGGCTAGCGATTTGGATGTCGATGTATCTGGTTCCGACGATGATACATGGTCCATATGTGGCCCCCATGGGTTCTGATTTGAGTATTCAGCGCGGTCTGATTACGTCAACAGATGTGTATCTTAGGACAGACATGCATCACGACTACATGACATCATTATTGCATTTACATCGCATTTGACTTCATCTTTGTCTGTGGTGTGTGGATTTTTCCTATTTGCCCCTCTTCATGTGATATATGATCTATTTGCTCTTACATGAGGATATGAGGTTGATGTTGAGACACTGTTGGATATATCTGTTGATTATGAATTGTGTAGTATAGGTTGTTGGTTCACTGTTAGAATGAAGTTTCGGTGGTTCGGTTGGGATTGAAAGGAGTTGTTTGTAGTTGGTAGTTTAGCTTAGTTTAGTGTTACTTGCGAGTACCTGTTGCTTTTGGTACTCACCCTTACTTCTACACAGTTGTGTAGGTTGACAGCTCTATCAGATCCGGCTTATTACTCATCTTCAGATTAGAGCTTCCAGACTTACTTGAGAGGTAGCGGTTCATTCCAGACGTGCCCTCAAGTTATCTATATTTACTGTTCTGTTCTATTCTAGAACTTTACTATGAGACTTGTATATTTTATTCAGATTCTGTATTAGAGGTTTGTACATGTGACAACCAATTCTGGGGTTATGTTGAGTTTATTTAAAGACTTCCGCTTATCTTTCTATGTTATTCTTGTTTTATAAATTCTATATCGTCGGGGTATTAGGTGTTATGCTGACGTGTCCGGTGGGGTTTGGGCACGTGCCATCACATCTGGTTTTGGGGTGTGACAAAAATGGTATTAGAGCCCAGGTTCGAAGGTCTCACATGTACAAACCAAGTCTTAATAGAGTCTTGAGGATCGGTACGGAGACGTCTGTACTTATCTTCGAGAGGCTATGAAGACTGTTAGGAAAGACTTCTTTTTTTTCATTCCGTTCTTATCGTGCGAGGTTGTTATCGTGGGTGCTGAGTATCGCGTGTTGTTTTTGGCAGATGCCGAGGGCTAGAGCTACCGGAGTTAGGGGGATGCAGCCCCCGAGGTCAGAGTTGAGGCCCCATCTAGGGGTAGAGGTCGGGCTAGAGGCCGAGGACGTGGTCGAGGCCGTGCCAGAGGAGCGGCACCTGCCCGAGGCCGAGGTAGAGAGCCTTCACCTGAGCCACAGATTGGAGTAGCTGCAGAGCAGGCTCCTGCGGGCAATGCTCCCCCAGTTCATGATGACAGACTCGACAGGATATTTGGGTTATTGGAGCGTCTTGCTCAGGGTGCAGCAGGTTATACCAGCGGGGTTACAAGCTGGGGTAGGGGCACAGGCCCCTGGTTATCAGCATCAGATTCCAGTGGTTCCAGAGCCGGTGGTTCAGCCACCACAGGTTCCAGCACCGGTTGTAAGTGTACCGGCGGCCCTTGAGTTGGCCTTGGCAGATGATGACCAGGTCTACTATGAGCAGTTTCAGAAAATGAAACCACCTCAGTTTCATGGTGCTAAGACTGATGATGCTCACGAGTTTTTGACCTTGAGTCGAGAGATGTTGGCGGCGGTACGCATGTTAGATAAGAGGGGCATCCGATTTGTGTCCCTTCAGTTACGCGGTGTCGCTAGGGAGTGGCTGAGGACCTTCACGAGTTCGAGACCAGCGGGATCTCCTCCAATGGAGTGGGGTGAGTTTGCTAGTGCCTTCAAGGGTCGTTTCATCCCTTGGAGTGTACAGGAGAAGAGCCGTATGAGGTTTGAGAGTTTGGTGCAGGGTAGCATGTCAGTCGCAGATTACGAGGCTCGATTCTGGCAGTTGTCGAGACATGCCTCTGGTTTGATTTCAGGTGAGCCTGAGCGGATTCGCAGATTTGTCAGGGGTTTGACTCCCACTATCCGTAGTTATGTGTATAGATCATCTCGAGAGGGTGCTTCCTTCCAGACTATAGTGAGTGCAGCCAGAGAGGCTGAGTTGCTTTAGCGGGATGATTTTGGTGGGCCCAAGAGGGTCCGTACAGGTGGTCAGTATTCAGGTACCTCGTCAGGAGGTAGGGGCCCATAGAGGGGAGGCGGGTCCTTCCTGCGTCAGAGGACAGTACATGCTTCATTACCAGCTACCGAGAGTGGGCCAGCAGCTCGGGGTCCTCCAGGTTCGGGTAGAGGTGGTTATAGCATTACTTCGGGTTCTTCACAGTCAGGATCCACGCCAAGGTCTTGTTATGGTTGCGGTGATCCAGGCCACTTGATTCGTCAGTGTCCACATCAGACTCAGTCTGGACCACACCGTATTGTCTCCGCGGTCCCAGAGAGAGATTCAACACCTCCGGCTAGAGGTCGGGGTCGGGGACCGGCATCTGGTAGAGGCGGACGAGCTTCGGGTAGAGGTGCTAGTGGCGCCTCAGGTTCACAGAGTGGGGGCAGAGGTGCCCAGTGTTATGCTTTTCCTGGGAGGCCCGAGGCTGAGGCTTCTAATGCAGTTATCACATGTATCGTCTCAGTTTGTCATCGGCCTGCTTCCGTGTTATTTGATCCTGGTTCTACATTCTCATATGTGTCTACATATTTTGCTTCCGGCCTTGAGTTGACTTGTGATCGTATGTCTGTGCCTATTAGAGTCTCTACACCCGTAGGTGAACCCTTAGTGGTGAATCGAGTATATCGATCTTGTCTTGTTGTCTTATCGGGGTATGAGACTTGGGTGGATATGATTCTTCTTGATATGTTAGACTTTGATGTCATATTGGGTATGGACTGGCTTTCCCCCTATCATGCGCTTCTTGATTGTTATGCTAAGACTGTCACCTTAGCTATTCCGGGTATTCCTAGAGTGGAGTGGAGAGGGACTAGTGGTTCGTATCCCAACGGGGTCATATCTCATATTCGGGCTCAGAGGATGATTAATCGGGGTTGTTTATCTTATTTGGCCTTTATTCGGGATATTGGAGCTGAGTCACCGGCCATGGAGTCTATTCCGGTGGTTCAGGAGTTCCCTGATGTGTTTCTCGAGGATCTACCTGCTGTTCCTCCTGTTCGTGATATTGACTTCTCTATTGACTTGGAGCCGGGCACCAAACCCATATCTATTCCACCTTATCGTATGGCTCCAGCTGAGTTGAAGGAGTTGAAGGATCAGATTCAAGACTTATTGAGTAAAGGATTCATACGCCCTAGTGTGTCGCCTTGAGGTGCACCGGTCTTATTTGTGAAGAAGAAAGATGGGTCGATGAGGATGTGTATTGACTATAGACAGTTGAACAAGGTAACGGTGAAGAACAAATATCCCCTTCCCCGTATTGATGACTTGTTTGATCAGCTTCAGGGGGCAGCCTTGTTCTCTAAGATCGACTTGAGATCTGGGTATCATCAGTTGAGGATTAAGCCTTCAGATGTGGCGAAGACAGCTTTTCGCACACGATATGGTCATTATGAGTTTTTGGTGATGTCATTTGGGCTCACCAATGCCCCTGCGACGTTCATGGAGTTGATGAATGAGTGTTTCGCCCATAGTTGGATTCCTTCGTGATTGTGTTTATTGATGACATCTTGGTATATTCCAAGACCGAGGCGGATCATGTTTGTCATTTGAGGGCCGTGCTACAGAAGTTGAGAGATGAGAAGTTGTATGTCAAATTGTCTAAGTGTGAGTTTTGGCTTGAATCAGTGGCTTTCCTAGGGCACGTGGTGTCTAAGGATGGAGTTAGGGTTGATCCGGCCAAGATTGAGGCGGTTCAGGGTTGGACTAGACCTACATCACCTATCGAGATTCGGAGTTTTGTTGGGTTAGCGGGTTACTATCGGCGTTTTGTTCAGGGATTCCCTACTATAGCTACGCCGTTGACCAGATTGACTCAGCAGACGGTTCCTTTTCATTTGTTACCCTAGTGTGAGGCGAGCTTCCAAAGGCTCAAATCCCCATTGACTTCAGCACCTGTCTTGACTTTGCCAGAGGAGGGTGTTGGATTTACTGTTTATTGTGACGCTTCGGGTGTTGGACTTGGAGGTGTTTTGATGCAGAAGGGTAAGGCTGTAGCCTATGCCTCTAGAGAGCTGAAGGCACACGAGAGGAATTACCCAACTCATGATTTGGAGTTGGCAGCTGTGGTATTTGTGCTTAAGTTGTGGAGACATTACCTATATGGTGTTCATTGCGAGGTATTTACTGATCATAGGAGCCTACAGTACATATGCACTCAGCGGGATCTGAACTTGAGACAACGTAGGTGGCTTGAGTTGCTCAAGGACTACGACATGACCATTTTGTATCACCCCGGGAAGGCCAATGTGGTGGCCAATGCCTTGAGTAGGAAGACTCCTAATATGGGGAGTCTTGCCGCGATCAGTGTTGAGAGGCGGCCTTTGGTTCGGGATGTTCAGAGGTTATTTGACAGCATGGTGAGATTTCGGGTTTCTGAGGAGAGTGGAGGTGTGTTTGCCTTCATTGAAGCCCGTTCATCTTTGATGGAGCAGATTAGAGAGCATCAGTATGAGGATGGGAAGTTATGTCTCATCCGGGACAAGGTGATGAGTGGTGAAGCCAAGAAGGCTAAGATTGACTCCGAGGGTGTATTGAGGATTGAGGGCCGGATATGTGTGCCCAAGTTGGTGATTTGATCAGATTGATTCTTGAGGAGGCTCATTATTCTAGGTATTCTATTCATCCCGGAGCGGCGAAGATGTATCATGATCTTAGTCAGCACTATTGGTGGTGTGGGATGAAGAGGGATATTGCAGAGTTTGTGGCTAGGTGCTTGACATGTCAGCAGGTCAAGTGTGAGCACCAGAAGCCTGGTGGTGTGACTCAGAGGATGCCCATTCCTACTTGGAAGTGGGAGAGGATTGCTATGGACTTCGTAGTTGGATTACCTACCACCGTGGGTGGTTATGATTCTATATGGGTGGTCGTCAACAGACTGACCAAGTCTGCTCATTTCATCCCGGTCCGAGTGAGGTATACAGCGGAGAAGTTGGCTCAGATTTATATTAGTCAGATTGTGCGGTTACACGGAGTGCCGGTGTCCATTGTGTCTGACAGGGGTTCAGTATTCACTTCTCATTTCTGGAGAGCATTACAGCATGATTTGGGCACTAGACTCGACATGAGCACAACTTTTCACCCTCAGACTGACGGTCAGTCTGAGAGGACTATTCAGGTGTTGGAGGACATGCTTGGGGCTTGCGTGATCGACTTTGGTACTAGATGGGATCAGCACTTGCCATTGGCAGAATTCGCCTACAACAACAGTTATCATTCTAGCATTGGGATGGCACCTTTTGAGGCACTGTATGGTAGGCGGTGTAGATCACATATTGGATGGTTTGATTCAGCGGAGGTGGACTCCCTTGGTACTGATATTCTTAGAGGGGATATGGAGTGTGTTCGTGTGATTCAGAGTAGGCTCTTGACTGCCCAGAGTAGGCAGAAGAGCTATGCTGACAGGAGGGTTCGACCCTTAGAGTTCATGGTGGTTGATCGAGTTTGGCTTCGGGTATCGCCCATGAAGGGTGTGATGAGATTTGGGAAGAAGGGCAAGCTCAGCCCTAGGTTCATTGGCCCATATGAGATTTTGGAGAGGATGGGAGAGGTGGCTTACAAGTGAGCCTTGCCACCTAGTTTGACAGCCGTGCATCCAGTTTTCCATGTTTCTATGCTCCGGAAGTATGTTCCGGATGAGTCTCACGTTATTTCGGTTGAGTCGGTGGAGTTGAGTCCAGATTTGACATTTGAGGAGGAGCCTATAGCTATTTTGGACAGGCAGGTTCGCAAGCTCCGGACCAAGGACATCGTTTCAGTGAAGGTTCAGTGGAGGCATCGATCAGATAGGGAGGCGACTTGGGAGTCCGAGGATGATATGCGGGTCCGATATCCCTAGCTTTTCGAGGGTTCAGGTACTTTCTTTTACTTTATGTTCGAGGACGAACATGGTTTTTAGTGGTGAATGATGTAATGACCCGAAAGGTCATTTTGGTAATTTTTTGTGGAAATGACTATTTTGCCCTTTCAGTAGTTGCCCCGAGTCACATGTTTTGTGGTTGTAAAGTTGGTTTGAGGAAAAGTTGGTAAAAAGTTGAGTTTTTGAGAAATTGAGTTTTTATGAGTTAAAGTTGGTTAAAAAGTGCTTTGTCGAGTCATTTGGAGTTTCGGGACTCGGATCGGATTTCCGTCGATTCCGACGGTTCTAGAATGTCGAAACGGGTCTGTGTGAAGTTACGGAGTCGAATTTGGAGTTGAAACGAAGAATTGAGGTCCTAAGTTGCTAAAGTTGTGAAATTTTGATAAAGAGTTGACTTTGGTCAACATATGAGGTTCCGAGGCTCAGATTGAAATTCCGAGAGTACCGTTGGTTTCGGGAGGCGATTCTAAGTCTAGAATGAGTCTTGTTTGAATTTTTAGACGCTTTGTTTGAGTTTCGAATTTTTTTGGCGTTAAACTAGTTACTTGACATCTTATTGAATTTCGGGTCAAGGAGTCCTCGAATTCAAATTCCGACGGTTCTATTGAGTCCGGAACGTCGAATTTAGTGGGGGTACATATTTAGTTTGTGTGCACGAGATTCCGAACGAATCCCGAGGGTCCAACGGGGACTTAAACTTTGGTGTTATTGTTGTGTTTCAGCTGCAATATCAGTCCTTTTTAAGTCAAAAAAACAGTAACCATTTTCCCCCAACTTGAAAAATACCCATTTCTCCATTTTTAGACTTCAAGAACTCGAAACTAGGTGATTTCAAGTGGGTTTTCGCAAGGAATTCATTGGGTAAGTTATTTCCAACTTATATCTTTGATTTCCATCGATTATTTATGGATTTTAACATCAAAATTTGAGATCTCAACTGTAAAATTTGGGGGTTTTTGCCTAATCCGAATTTAATAGAAAATTTGAGTTTGTGAACTCATTTCAACTCCTTTTTCGAAACGGTTTTCACTATTGGATTCTAAATTTCTTGGGGAACATTTTTCACTAAAAATTTCCAAATTTCGAGAGTATTTTCCGGAACTAAATTTTTTTGACCATTTTACCCTTTTCTCCAAATTTCACGATATTGGTGTTGTTAGATTCGTATTGATTGTGAGATTCCATTTATAAATAGATTGTGGTGATTTGGAGCGTGCTCGGAAGGGTAAAACTCAAATTTGAGTTACTAGTTGAAGTGTTTTGAGGCAAGTGACTTCTAAACTTTGTTAAACTCTTAGACTACACATGACTACTTTCCTAATTGTGTTGGGGAGTAATGGGGATTGAGGATGAGTTTTATTTGTTGATTGAAATTGTTGTAATTGAAAGATGGGGAATAAAATGAGCTAAATGTGTTATATGTGACTTGAATTTGTTGAATAAGTCATGTGATAACTGATATTGAGGGGATAGAAGAGCATGAGTAGGCTATGATTGATACAGACAATGATGTTGAGACAGATGATGTGTAAAACTATGATGTGGTCGTGATATGGTTGTGATTGAGACAGACGATGTGTAATACTATGATGTGGTCATGATATGGTTGTGATTGAGACAGATGATGTGTAATACTATGATGTGATCGTGATATGGTTGTGATTGAGACAAATGATGTGTAATACTATGATGTAATCGTGATATGATTGTGATTGATGACATGTGCATATTCATTATTCATCCCATGTGTGAACTATCTGTTGCATGAGTTCTGAGACACTGATATGAGGATGGATGGATATGAGACACAGTTGAGACTAGCTCCGGCTAGAGATATATGAGATGGACTAGCTCCGGCTAGCGATTTGGATGTCGATGGTATCTGGTTCCGGCGGTGATACATGGTCCATGTGTGGCCCCCATGGGTACTGATTTGAGTATTCAGCGCGGTCTGATTACGTCAACAGATGTGTATCTTAGGACATACATGTATCACGACTACATGACATCATTATTGCATTTGCATCGCATTTGACTTCATCTTTGTCTGTGGTGTGTGGATTTTTCCTATTTGCCTCTCTTCATGTGATATATGATCTATTTGCTCTTACATGAGGATATGAGGTTGATGTTGAGACACTGTTGGATATATCTGTTGATTATGAATTGTGTAGTAGAGGTTGTTGGTTCGCTGTTAGAATGAAGTTTCGGTGGTTCGGTTGGAATTGAAAGGAGTTGTTCGTAGCTGCTAGTTTAGCTTAGTTTAGTGTTACTTGCGAGTACCTGTTGCTTTTGGTACTCACCCTTGCTTCTACACAGTTGTGTAGGTTGACAGCTCTATCAGATCCGGCTTATTACTCATCTTCAGATTAGATCTTCCAGACTTATTTGAGAGGTAGCGGTTCAATCCAGACGTGCCCTCAAGTTATCTATATTTACTGTTCTGTTCTATTCTAGAACTTTACTATGAGACTTGTATATTTTATTCAGATTCTGTATTAGAGGTTTGTACATGTGACAACCAATTCTGGGGTTATGTTGAGTTTATTTAAAGACTTCCGCTTATCTTTCTATCTTATTCTTGTTTTATAAATTCTGTATCGTTGGGTTTTTGGGTTTTTGGGTGTTAGGCTGACGTGTCCAGTGGGGTTTGGGCACGTGCCATCACATCTGGTTTTGCGGTGTGACATCTTTCTTTGTGCTATTATAGATTTGTGACAAATTCCTGCGAATATATTATTGTTAAGTCTATTTTTCCTATGTTCTAATTCTTGTCGTTTTGCTATAATTATTTCATTAAGTTTTTGTCTATAGTCGCTATTCTTGTTATTCATTGTATTTTTAAGTATTGAATATATTTATATTCTATTTAAGATATGTTATCTATTAATTGATTTAAATTTTCGTTATCAGTCTTGTGATATTAAGTTGTTTATATTCCGGATATAATTTGTTTAATTTTCTTCTTATTTTTCTTAATTTTCTACTAGTATGTTTCTTACCGTGTTTCTTATTATCCATAGCTCTGATACCATTTTTCGGTGCGGAACTGGTAGTTGGTGAATTCATGAAAGTGGTAGTGTGGTAGGTGAGTATTTTATTTTAAAGATTTTATTATAATATTTTTTGTTAAGTGTCTTAATCTTGATATCTATGTTATTTTTTGGTAGTGTAAAATTCATGGTAAAATATAATAATATTTATTGTAATATTCTTCCAATAGTTGTTTTAATCTGAATATTTCTTTAATATTATTTATGATATATTCTAGATATAACATATCTTCGGTTCTTTGGTACATATATAAATTTTCCTCCATTAATTGTTCTAATAGTTTTATATCTTCCATAGATTTTATCCAATATTGTAAATATTCGTAGTTCATTTTAATCTGAAATTATTTCTAAAAGGCTTGGATGGTTTCCAAGATAAAATAAAGGATTTTGTGACCAAGGGCTTCAAAGCATGTGTTTTGCTATTACCTGGGGAAGTAGACATCATATGTGGGGGCCCTTCCTGTCTAGAGCATAAGTGGATTTAATCGTTTTAGGAACTAAAAAATTCCATTACAAGACCTGAAAAATAAACAACTTGAAGTATTCATGAGCTAGCTTTTAGGGTTGAGTTAAGTCAATGTGGCATATCTTTATATGGTATCAGAGTCAGACCCATCACATTTGTTATTCACTGATGTTGAACCCCCATTTAGAAGTGTTCACG